TCCAACCTGTAAACAGTTCTAAAATTTTTGTCCAAAAATAACCTGGGAGTACTTCACAGTCTTTTAAAGATTTTTCCACTTATTTTACTACCAACTACATACATGCAGTATTTAAACACGCATAGACCTTTTAGTGGATGATACACTTTAGAAAAAAAAATCTGCAGCATTTTACATTTCAGCTTCTTAAAGTAACAGTAGAGCGCCACCTAGTGTAACATAGCAAATGTACAGTCTCATTCTTGTTTCTACAGGTGAAACTCAAAATATTAGAATATCGTGCAAAAGTTCATTTATTTCAGTAATGCAACTTAAAAGGTGAAACTAATATATGAGATAGACTCATTACATGCAAAGCAAGATAGTTCAAGCCGTGATTTTTCATAATTGTGATGATTATGGCTTACAGCTCATGAAAACCCCAAATCCACAATCTCAGAAAATTAAAATATTACATGCAATCAATAAAACAAGGATTGTACATAGAACAATATCGAACCTCTGAAAAGTATAAGCATGCATATGTACTCAGTACTTGGTTTGGGCCCCTTTTGCAGCAATTACTGCCTCAATGCGGCGTGGCATGGAAGCTATCAGCCTGTGGCACTGCTGAGGTGTTATGGAAGACCAGGATGCTTCAATAGCAGCCTTCAGCTCTTCTGCATTGTTCGGTCTCATGTCTCTCATCATTCTCTTGGCAATGCCCCATAGATTCTCCATGGGGTTCAGGTCAGGCGAGTTTGCTGGCCAATCAAGCACAGTAATCCCACAGTCATTGAAAGAGGTTTTGGTGCTTTTGGCAGTGTGGGCAGATGCCAAGTCCTGCTGGAAAATGAAGTCAGCATCCCCATAAAGCTCGTCTGTAGAAAGGAAGCATGAAGTGCTCCAAAATCTCCTGGTAGACGGCTGCGCTGACCCTGGACTTAATGAAGCACAGTGGACCAACACCAGCAGATGACATGGCTCCCCAAATCAACACAGACTGTGGAAACTTCACACTGGACTTCAAGCATCTTGCAGTGTATGCCTCTCCATTCTTCCTCCATACTCTGAGTCCTTGGTTTCCAAATGAGATGCAAAAGTTGCTCTCATCAGAAAAGAGGACTTTGGACCACTGAGCAACAGACCAGGTCTGTTTTTCTTTAGCCCAGGTAAGACGCTTCTGATGTTGTTTGTTGTTCAGGAGTGGCTTGTCAAGAGGAATACGACATTTGAAGCCACGTCCATCCGTCCAGTGTGTGGTGGCTCTTGATGCACTGACTCCAGCCTCAGTCCACTCCTTGTGAAAGTCCCCAATACTTTTGAATGACCTTTTCCTGACAATCCTCTCCAGGCTGCGGTCATCCCTGCTGCTTGTGCATCTTTTTCTTCCACACTTTTCCCTTCCACATAACTTTCTATTTATGTGCTTTGATACAGCACTTTGGGAACATCCAACTTCTTTTGCAATTACCTTTTGAGGCTTTCCCTCCTTATGGAGGGTGTCAATGATGGTTTTCTGCACAACTGTCAGGTCAGCAGTCTTTCCCATGATTGTGATTCCTACTGAACCAGACAGAGACCATTTAAAGGCTCAGGAACCCTTTGCAGGTGTTATGGCTTAATTAGCTGATTAGAGTGGGACACTTTGAGCCGAGAATATTGCACCTTTTCACAATATTCTAATTTTCTGAGATTGTGGATTTGGGGTTTTCATGAGCTGTAAGCCATAATCATCACAATTATGACAAATCACGGCTTGAACTATCTTGCTTTGCATGTAATGAGTCTATCTCATATATTAGTTTCACCTTTTAAGTTGCATTACTGAAATAAATGAACTTTTGCACGATATTCAGATTTTTCGAGTTTCACCTGTATGTTTGGTGAATATGCAGTTGAGAAGAACCCAGTTTTGATTTGGATAATTAAAATTAATGCAAGTTTATTAAAGTTGAAGTATGCAAGTGCCACACCTGGCTAACCCTGTGGAAGTTGGAAATCACTGTAGTAGGCACAACAACTCTACTGAATACTGCTAGCTTCCAAGTCCCTGTGTTGAGTGGCTGCCCTACTGCTTAGTGAATACAGGAAGTTGCTCGCTTGACATGGGCGCCCATCAGAGAACACTATGCATTTTCTTAATGAATGTAAAGCATTCTCTGATCGGATGAGGTGGAGATTGTGCCGTTACTGCCCTGCATCTTCACCTTGTCCAACCAAAGAACGCTTTCCAAAAGAAAAACCCTGTGAATGGTGGCCATGCCAAGCAAGCAAGCACTGGCACATGTGTCAGTCTACTGCACAGCTTCAGCTCCTGTGCTGCCCGCCACTAAGACCTGCTCACTCATACCAGAGGACGGAGTACAGGACTGGACAGCTCGCGGCTTTCTACCCCAAATTAAAAAAAAAATATATATATACACACATACACACACACACACACACACATATACACACACACACACATATACAGTTGTGTTCAAAATAATAGCAGTCAGACATCACTAACCTGATCAATCACTGTTTTTGGTAGAAATGATATTTCTACATGGCAAATAATTTACTAGTAGGTGTAGTAGAGTAATAGAAATCCAACAGTCATGATATGCATGCTGCTGATTCTGTGTAATTAAATTACTAATTGAAAGGGGCATGTTCAAAATAATAGCAGTGCGGAGTACTATTAGTGAGGTCATTCATTCTTTGAACAACAGGTGGCAATTATTGCCCTTATTTAAGGAAGGAAGGCAGCAAATGTTGTACATGCTGGTTACAGTGCATTTCTCTCTGAAATTCTGAGGAAAATGGGTCATTCCAGACATTGTTCAGAAGAACAGCGTACCTTGATTAAAAAGTTGATTGGAGAGGGGAAACATATAAAGAAGTGCAGAAAATGATAGGCTGCTCAGCTAAAATGATCGCAAATGCTTTAAAATGGCAACCAAAACCTGAAAGACGTGGAAGAAAGCGAAAAACTACCATTCGAATGGATAGAAGAATAGCCAAAATGGCAAGGACTCAGCCAACAATCAGCTCCAGGAAGATCAGAGAAGGTCTAAAGTTACCTGTGAGTACTGTTACAATTAGAAGACGCCTATGTGAAGCCAAGCTATCTGCAAGAAGCCCCCGCAAAGTCCCACTGTTGAAAAAAAGACGTGCTGAAGAGGTTACAATTTGCCAAAGAGCACATTGACTGGCCTAAAGAGAAATATTTTGTGGACTGATGAAAGTAAGATTGTTCTTTTTTTGGGTCTAGTGGCCGGAGACAGTTTGTCAGACGACCCCCCAAACACTGAATTCAAGCCACAGTACACTGTGAAGACAGTGAAGCATGGTTGCGCAAGCATCATGATATGGGGATGTTTCTCATACTATGGTGTTGGGCCTATTTATCGCATACCAGGGATCATGGATCAGTTTGAATACATCAGAATACTTGAAGAGGTCATGCTGCCTTATGCTGAAGAGGAAATGCCCTTGAAATGGGTGTTCCAACAAGACAACGACCCCAAACACACCAGTAAACGTGCAACATCTTGGTTCCAGACCAACAAGATTGACGTTATGGAGTGGCCAGCCCAATCCCCGGATCTTCATCCAATAGAAAACTTGTGGGGTGACATCAAAAATGCAGTTTCTGAGGCAAAACCAAGAAATAGAGAAGAACTGTGGAATGTAGTCCAATCATCCTGGGCTGGAATACCTGTTCACAGGTGCCAGAAGTTGGGTGACTCCATGCAACACAGATGTACAGCAGTTCTCAGAAACAGTGCTTATACAACTAAATATTCATTAAGTGATTCAAAGGAAAGCAAAATCTTCAAACATTTTTCAGTTTATATAGTGAATGTTTGAGTTTGTAAAGAAGAATACAAACACTGCTATTTTTTTGAACAGTCTAATATTCACTTTTCTGCAATTTTTTTTAGAGGAACAACACAAATTTGATATATTTTTCTTCATGTTTTGATTTGGAATAGAATGTGTAGTGTTCCCAATGCATTTGTGTGTATGGAAATAAAAGCTATTAGAAAGATTTTGAGCTTTATTCACTTTTTTCAACACACTGCTATTATTTTGAACACAACTGTGTTTACACATTATATATATATATATATATATATATATATATATATATATATATATACACACACACACACACATACATACATACATACATACACATACATAGATAGTGGTTGTCCGCCACCTTTTCTCTGCCAATCCCTTCAGTGGCTTCTGGTCACCCAACAAATAAAAATTAAATTCCTAAAAACATACAAATCCGTTCATCAATCTGCCCTTAGCTACATCAACACATCTTTGCCCTTCCCAAGACCTCCTGTTCCGTAGTTCCCTTGTCACCCTGTCCCATGCTCGCATCTAGGATTTCTCCAGAGCCTCTCCCATCCTCTGGAACTCCCTACCCTAATCTGTCTGGCTATCTCCAACTTTGTCCGCCTTTAGGTGATCTCTGAAAGCTCATCAGTTGAAGGAAGCCTATTCCTCCTGAACTAAACTTTTACTTTCTCTATCAACTCATTTCTCAATTATCTTTTGTGTCACTTGCCCCCCCCCCCCCACTGAGATTGTAGGTTTGCACAAACAGGGCCTTCCTAACCCTCTTGTCCAGCATTGTATTGGATAATAATAATAGTAATGCACGTGCTATACCTTAAATACATTTTTTTCACAACTGTAAGTTGCCAAGCGCAGCTTACCGCAAATGGCACAAATGGGCCCCTAAGTGTTCAATCACTGAACCAGCTTTAGGGGGGTACATTGTTTTTAGCTGTAAATTGCACATAAACACCATCTACAATGTTTTTTACATGTTTAAATCCAAGATCGCCAGCTCACTGTTCTCAAAATCAGTTCAGCAATTTTGTTCCATAATTGGTTCTTCTGCGTTTTCCTAGCAACTGAAATGCCACCAGCCCACACATTTCTCAATATCTCCAACTATCTGGAAACAAAAGCACTTGACACGCTGGTGGTGTGTTAGCTGCATACTGAACCTTAGAGCTGTCTCTACTGTCTGTTCCCAGTCTTGCAAAGCCAGTTGTAGCTTCATTTTCTTAATGAGAGCAGGAACGAAGCCTGAAGAGCTGGCTAGGATTTTGTTCACGGCTTCCAAGGCTCCGGAGTAATTCTGCCGCATTTCGTGATAGTGGGCCTGAAACAGGAAGCAAATGTGAGGCTTTATTAATATGTGTAAATCTTATAAAAGATACACACACAGGAAACTATATCAATGCCATTCATACTACCTAAAAATCATTTAGTCAAATGTAAAGCAATGAAACCTAATAGAAAAGCTGGTTAGCCACAAACTGTAAGCAAAATTAAATGCATTTGGCAAAAAAAAAAAAAAAAAATACTTTTGTAATGCTTTTGATACCTGGCTCAGACAATGTCAACAGTGAATTTGGTTGAATTTTTAACATTTTGGGCAATTCACACCATCTGCAACACACAGCAGTGCAGTTCAAAACATGGTGTACTTTGTATTGTACTGCAAAAAAAAAATGCAGACAGCAGCTAATTTTCTCATGCCTTGAGATGTGTGCAGCCTATTCATTTTGTATGGCTGCTTAACCTCCCTACCGGTATGATGATGTCAGTGTTTCTGTGCTCAAAGTGGTACATTTTTTTGCATTGAATATGTATTTTTCTTTATTGTAGGCCTGTGATTTTTAGGAATAACGCACTAAAATCTGTCCGAACGAGAGTCTAGTAAACATCCCGGGTCTGTTAAAATTTGAAACACGAAATCATAAATTATAATTTAATAAATAATCATAAATAATAATAATAATTTTAATTCAATAATATAATCAAACCAAAAACACTGAAATTTTAAATATAGCGCCAAGTTCGCACATCACCGATCTTAGTCGCAAAATCGTTTTCAGTATCTGATGACGAATCTCCCCACGAATCATTATCACTCAATTCTGTAAGTGGTTCTAATTTACTATCGCTGTTCTCTAGCTGGTCTAAAACCGCTTTTGACCTAAAGCGGTGCTTTTTGGATGCCATGGACTTTTCTCAGTTTCCAGGCAGAAAGAACGGTAACAATGCAAGCAGGGCACAGGACAAAGCACTAGGGACAAAATGTATGTGAAATGGTTTGATACAGTAATGTTTTACTATGTGATTTTAGTGAATGTCACTTTTTGTCATTTTCAAATTTCCCGCCGTTCCGTCCCCCGTTCACCCCGACGCTCACAGGGGACGGAACCCAGAACAAGGATGCCGGTATCGGCCAGAGGAGATGACTGGGGACGCTGCAGGGGGGACATCGCGGGAGCGAAGGAAAAGGTAAGTGCAGAAGAGATCCCGGAGCAATGCTGCAGGGTAATCCCGAGTGTAGCTCCGGGTTACCTCTTGTGGTGCTGAAACTTTCCCCCGAGCTACACTCGGGAATAACGCCAGAGAGGTTATAGCAAACTGCAATATACGACAATGCATGCACATGGTGCTGTGGTGTGAATAGGCCATAAAAAGACATGCAGCCTATGGGCAGATTCATTGTGCACCGCAAATTGACGCTAGGTTTACACTAGTGCAGTGTGATTTTGATCTAATTTTCAGTCATTGTCATTGGTGGCACCTGCTGGCTTCCTAAATACGGGTCATCCTGTTGTCAGCTGGGTATTTCCCATTGAGCAGAATGCAAACAACCGCCTGGGGGGTCCGCCCTAAATCCATACCAGGCACTTTGGGTCTAGTATGGATTTTAAGGGGGACCCCATGCCAAAAATTGTGTGCCCCCCCACAAAAAAATCCATAGTCTGGTATGGATTTTAAGGGGAACCCCACTCCAAAAAAATTGGCATGGGGTCCCACCCGAAATCCATATCAGACCCTTATACGAGCATGCAGCCCAGCAATCCAGGAAGGGAGGGGGCAAGGACGAGCGAGTACCCACCCCCTTCTCCTGAATATACCAGATCACATGCCCTAACAAACAGCACAAACTGCACACAAAAACACATAAAAAAAACACATGTAGATGTGATTTTGATGTGTTTTCACTGCAGTATGTGTACCAAAAAATCGCACCGCAGCGCACCAAGGTAGCACAGGAGAATTCCCCAAAGTAGCATCACAGCTGCACTGCCTTGATGTGAATGGGCACCATTGGAAGCAGTGTTATTTGCTTTATCATGCTATTCAGCGCAACCCAAAGTGCATCTGAAATCGCATCAGTGTGAACCAGACCTGACTTTCCATATCTTCTCGGTTAAGTCCTGATCAGGCCTGGTTCAGTGGCCACTAGGGGTGCTTTCAGCAGAAAAGTGGATGGCAGTTGTTGATTAGACCTGAAGCCAGAAAAAGTCAAGCCACAGTGATCATTTGAAACTAAATTACAGAAGGGCACAGAAAAGGATCTTTTAAATTAAAATGATGCTTTCTCTAGATAAAAAAGGTATGCTTTTTAAGAATACCTACCTGCCTCGCCGATCTTCTCCCTCTCTTTAGCATCTAAAACATTTCCAGGAGTGGCAGATGTCTAGTTCCCTGTTGATCTTTTTGGTTTCCTCCTATAGCCTCTATGTCACATCTGTGTCCTGTAGTGACATTAAGCCTAGCAGAAGGAACCATGAAGCACAGAAGGGTGCCAGGCATCTGGCACTCCTGGAAGTGTCAGATGCTGTAGATTCTGAAGTGCAGGTTTTTTAATCTAGCACCAGTCAGTTTAAAGTGTAGTCTTGTAGTGTCTGCATTTAGTCAGGAATCTTCACTTCACCAAATGTTTACAATGCAGTACAGTTTCACTTTTCTCAACATTTCTAAACAGCAGAGAATGTGCATACAAAATGTGTTTAAATACTAATCTTATAATGAAATCCACTGTTTTCAAAGAACCCTTCATGAAGGTCACATTATTTTAACAACCCTCTAAAGCAATAAAGCATGTGTTTGCTTCCAGAAACCCCCTTTTGTGCCAAAATATTTTTAAACCCATCTTTTAAATTTCTCAAATGACCTAATACTTTGTATAGGATTTATTGTTTGCTGAAACTCTGTACTGTAGGGACAAAGTCATGATAGGAGGCTGAGGTTCCTCAGAAGCAGCTGCTTGGGTATCAATTGTGGTGAACAACAAAAATTGATTAGTTAACCACTTCTCGTCCGCACTATAATAGAAGCACTGCTACAAGGCGGCACGGGTGTGCAAAATCACGTATATTTATGTGATTTTGCATTTATGGGTAGGGGGCACGTGCGAGGTGCACCCTACCCGCACCACCATTCATGGCCACAGCTGTCAATCACTGGGTCCCAGCCCTGATTACTTGCCAGTGCCCAGTGATTGCCAAGCATCTCCGATGGGGGAGAAAACTGTTTGTAAACAAATCAGCTCCTGCACACTGCTTTGCATGGCTGTGCATAGCATAGCCATGCAAAGCAGTGTGCTTACACTGAAGCACAAACACAGCCACACAGTGTAAAACACAGCACACAGTTAACCTTTTGATCACCCCAGATGTTAACCCCTTCCTGCCCAGTGCCATTAGTATATTATCAGTGCTTTTTATTAGCACTGATCACTGTATTGGTGTCAATGGGGAGATCAGTGACACCAAGTCAGTTCTCCCCAGTGTGAGAATGCCCGCCGCAGTCCTGCTATAAGTCGCTGATCGCTGCCATTACTAGTAAAAATTAGTGGGAAATGGGCATAGGAGCATATTACATGTTACATCTAAATATTGGGCGGCACAGTGGCTAAGCGGTTAGCACTTCTGCCTGGCAGTACTAGGGTCACCGGTTCAAATCCCAACCATGGCACCACCTGCCTGGAGTTTGCATGATCTCCCTGTGCCTGTGTGGGTTTCCTCCGAGTACTCCGGTTTCCTACACTCCAAAGACATGCTGGTAGGTTAACTGGATCCTGTCTAAATTGTCCCTAGTATGTGTATGTATGAATGTGAGTTAGGGACCTTAGATTGTACACCCCTTGAGGGTTAGGGACTGATGTGAATGTACAATATATATGTAAAGCGCTGCGTATATTGATGGCGCTATAGAAGTACCTGAAATAAATATTGATGTAGCATGCTCCTAAAAGTGAACTTATCCTCTAAGTCTCCTTGCTCAACTGAAGCCAGCACCACTTCTAAAAACACAATCGAGATTTTCTTGAAGACATTCTCTGCATATAAGAACATCTCAATTGTTAATTACACCGAATAGGCTCTGATGTTACAGTAGACCTTGACTCAGTTCAGTATGGCATTCTGGTAAACGACTCATAAAAAAGTTACCCAATTCTGTAGCAAAATTATACCTTCTATTCAAACATTTCTAAGTCTCCTACGCATGGACGCTGCAAGCACACCCAGATAGTGTGGCTATGCTTATTTTGGCTGTCAGTGGTCTCCTGAAAGAGCCATCAGGGAGGCTTCAAGCAAAGCCAGGCAACTGCAGTGCTGCCTATATGGTATTTTAAATGAGCGACATTAATCCTGTTACTTCATCTCTATCCTTAGATGCTCTTTCTAGCCATACAAATGACAGCCATGGGATGGATGGGTGAATGTGAGACCTCCTACCTTTTAGTCAATCAGACTATACCATTCAAAGAGTTTATCTATGAAAAAACTGCTCAGTTACATTTTTATAAATTTGGACGTTGACACATGTCGTTAGACCCATAGTGTGAGGTTTAGAACAGCTGAAATAGAATCAAATACTCTTACCAGAACCTTAGGTATGATGAACAATGGGCCTGGAGGTTTTACTACTTTGATAGGACTATGCAGTTTTTTTGCCTTGGCAGTCTCACCCCCCCCCCCCCTCATTTCTAGAAACTCCCAATATTGTTATTGGCCCAGGCTATAATCATAGTGTGCTTATTGGCCATGGGAGCCCAGACCAGCCATCTCTATACCCTAACAACAAGCACACAGATCCCTTTCCGTTGTAGTTTTTTTTTTCAGTGTCAATAAACTTTATTGTATCGGCAACATGGTATATGATGCATATGTAGCTGCTCCTTCAATGCATTTCAACTACGCATGGTGAGAATGATTATGCATCATATGCTATGTTACTAATACAACAAAGTTTGTTGAAACTGAAAAACTGAGATCACCCTAGGGTGACAACATTACTCCTTACCTCCCCACACAAGACTGGTCTGGCACCCCTGAGCTATGTGGTCTTGAAAATGGACTGTTCCTGATGTCAGCACACTCAAAGCACACTCCATAGACAGGAACAGTCCACTGCTAGATTTTGGGGGAGCGCGGTTTTCCAGAGGATTGGCGGATAAGGCGAGTATGAGCTTTCTGCTGACTCCTAGAAAAAACAAGCAGTAGACCCGTGCAGCGCGGGCATGGGAAAGAACAAATTGCCAGAAGTTGGGCTTTAAGAGATTTGTCTAAATCTAAACTTTTAGCCTAAACAGCTGAAACAAGTGCGGAACCCAAAACGTTCATGTCCTTATGATGCCAATATGTTCAGGGCATTGGGTTCTACTAATACACATAGGACTAGCACAGGATTACTTTGACAAGCTTACCTTTCCCATCATAGCAAACACATCAATATCATTGTGCAGTCCTTCCTCTAGGTACTTCAGAGCCTTTTTAGCATAGGCTTCTCTGCCACAGGTCAGATCAAGCCATCCTTTCAAAACCAATCCCTGCAAATACAGACATTTTAATTTTTTCTCCACTCATCACACACTAAAGACAGTCCATTCTGCTGTGACGGTTTTAGGAACTAATGGGATTCTGGTACTTAACTTCAACAAGCAATCAGACGTCTATGCAGTATGAAAACCCCATGTCAAAAATGTGGCAGTGAATATACAATCACACTTTTAGAAAGGGAAAAAAATCAATGTGCTAAGAGAATTCACAATGTTTTTAACAACCTTTTTTTTTTTTTTTTTTTTTTAAAGAAATAAACTATTTCATTTCAAGAGCATGCCAAGATGTGACTGCAATAGTGACTGCACCAGAATTTGAGAAGCAGTTTAACATCTTTAAGCTCAACAGATAAATGTCGTAATGTTCAAAAGAGAAAAGGTTGGGTTCATGCACTCTGGGCATTTAGACCCGATGCATGAGATCCTGGCATTAAGGAAGGCACAGGCACACTGTCCAGCCTGGCCTGCCAGCAGCCTGCTACAGTTTATGAGAGGCTAAAAGCTGCTATGGCTGGACGTCCACTGAGTGGTACTAATGTTTAAGGTGTTACTAAACCCACAACAGAAAATCAGTCTGTATATGCAGTAAAGCATGCTTGTTATACTCACTGTGGCTAATCCTCTGCATTGTGCAAAAAGGATGTTTGATCATGTCTGATCCTTCCCCTCTTCCACGTTCCCCATTTCATCTCATGATAGAACACAGCCTCAGGGACACTCTGCACATGCTCCGTTTGGTGCATATTGCTAGTTTTTTTTTTCTTGGGAGGGTGCATGTGATCAGCACAGGGCCAATCAGTATCGTCCATACAGAGGGTCAGGGGTTTTGCAATCTCATAAGGCAGTGAGAGGAGAATCAATACTCCTCCTACAAGCTTTAGTCAGTGCTCAGCTGGACACTGATAGAAGTCACAAGACTGCTCTAGCTGCTGATGAGAAACGGTATTTAGGAGTTTATATTTACTAAAATAATTGCATTTCCATGTTGTGTGTACTGTGGGAGACCAGATATAGTGAATGCAGGGTCCTGGGTTTAGTAACACTTTAAGCCAGTATGTGCCTAAGGCAGGGTTGGGCAGCTGTGGCCCTCAAGCTGTTGTAGAACTACAAGTCCCATGAGGCATTGCAAAACTGACAGTTACAAGCATGACTCCCAAAGCCAGAGGCACGATGGGACTTGTAGTTCACCAACAGCTGGAGGGCCACAGTTGCCCACCCCTGGCCTAAGGACGAGTGCCTGGAATGTAGGCTGCTTATGTTCTGGGCATTCGTCCCTGGGCGCACAGTGCTTTAAATACTACTATCACCCTGTGCACGGTCCAGCAGCAAAAGCTTTCAGCCTCTGAAAGAGTTTAAAAGGATGCACACATGTACGTACCTAAACGCCAGAGCGCCATGCAATGGTGCTAAATGCCAGTGTGTATGAGGCCTCAGGAGGATAGAGGAGAGGTTTCTTTTAACTCTAAGCTGAATTCCAGGCAAACTACACAACTTAAACACACATAAAGGGCTTTTAAAGTGGTTCTAAATCTAAATCTTTTTACTTAAAAGCATTTCTTGCATTAAGGTAATTAACATTTTACCACTTGCTGTGCCCCCCTCACCCCAAACACTTACCAGACTCCTCCACTGATCCAGCGCTGCACCCGACTGCACAGGTCCTCTCTTCCCTCTTCCTCACTGATTCCAATGCTGTCAATCACAGCCAGTGAGGAGGGAGCGGGGGGCAGGGCCGAGCCACTCTCTGTGTGTCTATGGACACACAGAGCCAGCTCAGGAGTGAGCCTACATGAGTACCAAGCGGCTTACTATGGTGGGCACTAGGCAGAGGGGGGAGGAGCCAGGAGCACAGGCAGGAGACCCAGAAGATGATTGGTGCTGCTCTGTGCAAAATCATGGCATACAGCAGGAAAGGATGGAATGTTTGTTATTATTTAAAAAAAAGGGTTTAAAATCACTGAAAAAAAATGGGTGAAAACCCAAGCAGGCACAGGAGAACATGCAAACTCCAGGCATGTGGTGCCATGGTTGGCATTCAAACCAACAACCCTAGTGCTGCCATGTAGAAGTGCTAGCCACTCAGCTGCTATTTATTTTATTGTCAAAGCTTAATTGAACAAGTTAGAAGCTGATTGGTTACTATGCACAGCTGCACCAATTTTAGTGTGTGAGAGCCCAGCCCCCACCCAATGCATGCTGCTGAATATAACATAGGAAAGTTTTGTGCTGACAGCCTGAGTTCCCCAAGTGGAAGAAAAGAGGGGTGAATTCTCTGTATGAAGTATAAAGTTGTACAAATATAGCAGCTTGAAAAAAAAAAAACAATATCTGGACTAGATTCTAGCAGCTACAGTACATGCTAATATTAGGTTAATATAGTATTTTATAGGCAGCCTATTTAGGTGACCATAAACAAGGTATGCCTCTCTACATGTTATATATTCCACGGTATTACTACTTACATCTTTGTCACCATTTGATATCTTGATCATCCTATCGACATATTCCCGAGCTTTATCATGGCGTCCAACATGCCATAGGAACAACCCAGCATAATATAAGGCCCTAGGTCCAGATGTTTTTCGTTGCTCCTTCATCCTCATTTCCAGGTCCTGAATAGTTTCTCTATCTACAAAAGTCATTCAAAGTTATGCCAAACGATGCCAAACTACAGTACCTAAAATTCTCCTCCATAGGCAATGTTTTAAAAGCCCTTAGAAGTTACCAGTTTAGAGTTACACAGGAGGTCTGGTGCTAGAATTATTGCTCCAGCTATGACTATAGCGATGATACCTCACATGTGTGGTCCGATCACCGTATACATATGCTTATGGGACTTACATGTGTAAGTATGGGGGGGGGGGATGCAGTGAAAGTCCTCTTTATGGAGAGGCAGAAGTGGGGGCACCCCCTTTCATCACTTGTAGAAGTGATCGAATGGCTGTCTAGCCATGTCTTTATTAAACAGCATTTCCAGGTGAAAAGGTTGATACTGCGATGATGCTGACATTATGTCGCGTCCACCTACGGGGAAGTGGATAACATCCTCGAAGTGTACATTGATCACCCAAAAGGGATTGTATTTTATTTCATAAAAAGTGGTGTTACTCTTCAATGGGCAAAGTTGGGATCCATTTACTATGGGTCTTGGGTTACAGAATTAAAAAGCTACTGCGCCTATGAGGTCCTCCTCCTCCAATCAACAGTCAAGCACATGCATAGTGGTATAGAAGAAAATAGACTTAATAGGGTTGATTTACTAAAAGGAGTTGAGAATCTATACACAATAATTGTAAATGTAAAAATTCACTTCAATTAACCAACCACAAGCAGACGAAATAGGTACACAGGAAATTGCTGTTTGGATGACTGTATAATTGACATTCACAGAGAAGTACAGTCAAAAATCTTTTGGCTGTAATTCTCCTGTGGATCAAAAGGAGTGCAGTTCGTTCTGCAGTCTTGTGGCCCATTTTCAGCTGACAGCAGGCTTGTGACATCACTCAGCTGGTCCAGGCTGGGGAAAGATCCCGACTTTAAAGTTCCGACTCCAGTGAGTGCTTGCGAGGGGCTGCAGAGCAGACAGTGAGGACTGACAGCCACCACTCTGCTCAGAGTGACTGTGCAAACTCAGCAAGCAGCGGTCATGTGATCGCTGAGTTCTCACACTTGTTGCCGGCAGGGGAAAGATGGAGGACTGGACCGATTCTGCATCCACCTGAGTAAGTGTAATTTGGAGGAAAAAAAAAAACAAACCCCATACTTCTCTTTTAATACTAACACAATTTACTGTGTGAAGATTCTCAACTCCTTTAGTAAATTATTGTTTCAGAATGTCAAGTATTGTACCGGATATAAACTCTTCCACTGTGAAACACCAAATAGAGCCAGTTGTTAATATCATTTCTATGGCTCTTTATTTTAACCACTTCCAGTCCGGACACTTTTACCCCCCCTTCCTGTCCAGGCCAATTTTCAGCTTTCAGTGCTATCACACTTTGAATGACAATTGCGCGGTCATGCAACACTGTACCCATATGAATTTTTTTGCATTTTTTTGAGACAGATAAAACTTAATTTTGGTGGTATTTATTCACCACTGGGATTTTTTTATTTTTTTTTGCTATACAAATGAACAAGTCCAAAAATTTAAAAAATAAAAGTGTTTTTCTTATAAAATTTTGCAAATAAATAATCTTTCTTCATAAATCTTGGCCAAAATGTATTCAGTTATCTTTTTAGTAAAAAAAAAAAAAAAAAAAAAAACCCAAATTAGTTTATAACCAAAAATTATAATTTTTTTTTACATTTTTAGTTTTTTTTTTATATTATTTATTTACATACCGTCACCCTAGCAGTACAGTGTCAGTGACACTGTTGTGGGGGGTGATGAAGATTTTTTTCTTTTTACACTGATTGCTTCTACACCCATAAAGGCTGTAGAAGCAATCATTGCTCCTTCTCTCTGGCTGCATTCTTGCAGCCATTGAGAAATACTGTGTGAGCTGTGATTGGTTCACAGCTTGTCACATGGTACAAGGCTGTTGTGAATAGCCTTGTACCATGTGACCACTGTGATCATTCACAGATTTCACACATAGTAAGCAGAAGTGACATCTTGCTTACTACTCTTCATGTGATCGGTCCCGTACAACGATCAGTGCTCACAGCGGGCACTGGAACGCGGTGCCGCGCGCTCCCAGGGAGCGCGCACAAGCAGGGAGCAGGGAGGATGTTTATAAATGGCCACCTGCTCCTGCACTGCTCCTGTCCAGCCGTTTATATACATGTGAAGTGGTTAAGGTTGCTAAAACACTAGATAGTATGAGACAAATTCTAGCTGATTGCTATGGCATTTGATATTACCATATTTCACAATCCACTTCAATGATAGGAACTTAGCCTACCCATTGCAGCCTGTAAAGCATTGCACCCACAATACATATACATGGGCCGGACGGGAAGTGGTTAAGGAGCTCTTTAGCATGGATAGGGGAACAAATTGATTTTCTCTTGTTCATCCTGTGGCCTAAATAAGAGAAATCCGACCATGGATAACTTTAGTCCAGGATAATCTCAATGGATAGATCTTTGGGGAATTGTGAAAAAGATTATTTGGTATGGAAACAAAAAAAATTACCTGTATCTGAACTTTTCTTGTGAGCATATATTAAAGCCATAAGAGAACACAGTGAAACATCGGACTTGTCCTTTATCATTTCCATTTCCTGGAAGAACTCCGACACTTGATCTGTAGAATCCCGAATGAATAAAACATGTGAATACACTGAAACAAGTGAGGTTTTCCATTAAGTATTACAGTTAAGAGTTAGTGAGAATTTTCAGTTAAAACCAATTACCTTCCATTAACATCCCAAAGGCCCGGAAAAAGAGGAATACGGGATCATTAACATACTCCTTGAGAACTTCATTAGAAGAGGTTTGAACATGATGAAAGTACTTTTCCTGGCAGTAGTAATTGATTAATGCCTAAAAAAAGGAAACAATTAGTAGAGTAAGCTCTCTATGCAGATCCCTGGACAATGGATATCTTTATGTGCTTAACATTTTCAAATCTCTTTACACTCAAATTTCGAAAGCGCATATTCAAATACATTGAAGCTAAAAAATCCAGGTATGGGCTTTATTGCAGTTACATTGGTCCAGCTTGGATCAATGTACGAAATATGACAATTTAATACCTCGGAATGCCGATGTGTTGTACTATGGCAGTCACAAAGCCATCCACACCGGAGCGAGTTCTGACATGTTCTAACTTGCACTCGCCTGGTTCACAGACCAGTTGACTCTTTACCATGTGTGCATTATGCTGTTAGTGAAAAATGAGTGACAGGAATCTGGAGCAGCAGATTACCATCAAATTTTATGTGAAAATTAGCAAAGTGAGTGAGTGAAACTTTAGCAACAGGCTTATGGTGAACATTCCACAAAGAAAGCAAGTGTTTTCGAATGCCATAGGTGGTTTAGGGGATGGGCGGGAAGATGTCCATGATGACGCAAGAAGTGGGCAGGAAAAAAACGCAAAGGATGGATGCAAATGTGCAAAATGAAAATGTTAAAGGAAATCTGTTTGGAGGAAAAGACAGGAACTCTGGCCCAACAAGTGGGAATTCCTTGGGGACCCCAGGTCACCTGAACTTGTGTTCCCATAGGACAATTTCCCTTATTACTTTTCTGGGGACAACCCAAAATTTGGGGTTTCTTTTACTTTCACTTTTGATGATAACAGTAAACAGGACAAATAGAGTGGATGAATCTCCCTAACAGAGCCACAGACAGCAATGAAAACCTAAACACCTATCAATCTTTCTAATCCATCTCCATTCTGTCCAAAACTAAAAAATAAAAAAAAAAAAGGTTTTGCCTTTAGTTATATTTTAAGAGCTTATGAGTTCCTGGCCCAGAATTCAATTCCAAAACTTAAACCAACGTATTCCCTTGACATAGAACACTGTGACTTTTGGCTGTTTCCAAAATAAAAAAATGCCTTAAAAGAACACAGATTTGATGACATTTGTCAACATCCAGCAAGCTGCGACAAAGATACTGCGCAGCCTTCCGGAAAATTAATTCCAGGAATGTTTCGGTAGTGGCACCATTGTCTAGAAAAGTACATTGCTTCACGAGGGGACTACTTTGAAGGTGACAACAGCCACCAGGGTAAATGTAAGCAAAAATTATTTAATCCCCCATTTTGGGAATTAAATTGTCACACCTCTTAAATATGCATATGCCTTACTTGAAGGACCGATGTGGAAGCGGAGAATCACTGTTCTAGATAGTTGTTGCTACCACAGTGATCACATGGTACAGACTGGGCCAATCATAGTCCATGTGTGTCATGTGTTTAAGCTGTGGCCAATCACAGCTACTCACAAAAAAAAACAAATGCTTGCTTTTTCTGCAATTAAATTCATTCATAATGAGTAATCATAAAGTGTAAAAAGAAGAAAACAAATATCACTTCCACAGAGTAGTAAAATGTAACTATGGTTACATTATACTAATCTGGCTGCAGTGTGTTATAAAAAAAAAATCGTTAAAAAAAGGAATAAAAAATGTTTTAAAACATTGTTTTTTGCACTGTAACCAGTCAGAGTCCCTGGTCACACAGCCACACCAGTTATAGGATCGACATTGTACTGCACTGGTGACAAGTAAAAAAAAAAAAAAAAAGCGCAAGTTGTTTTCTTTTTTATGTTTTTTTAATTTTCTTAATTTCACAAAAAAATTTAACTCAAAAACCTCACCCTGCCTCTTACTAAATACCTCAGACTATCTACTTTCCAAAAAGGAATATTTTGGGGGATATCTGTACTGTCCTGACATTTTTGGGCCTCAAGAAATGAGATTCGGCCGTTTAATACATCAAGATTGATCAATTTTCAGACACAGTGCCTTGAAATAGGTAGTCATACCCCTTGAAATGTTCCATGATTTGTCATCTTACAACCAAAAACGTAAATGTATTTGATTGGGATTTTTTGTGAAAGACCAATACGAGTGGCACATAATTGTGAAGTGAAAGAAAAATGATTTTCAGACTTTTTTACAAATATCTGGTGTGTGGCGTACATTTGTATTTAGCGCCCCTGAGTCAATGCGTTGTAAAACCACCTTTCGCTGCAATTACAGCTGCAAGTCTGTTTGGGGATGTGTCTCTACCATTTTTGCCCATCTAGAGAGTGAAATATTTGCCCATTCTTCTTTGCATAATAGCTCAAGCTCTGTCAGATTGGATGGAGAGCAATTTTCAAGTCTTTCCACAGATTCTCAATTGGATTAAGGTCTGGACTTTGACTGAGCCATTCTAACATATGTATATGCTTTGATCTAAACTATTCCATTGTAGCTCTGGCTGTATGTTTAGGGTTGTTGTCCTGCTGGAAGTTAAAACCTCCGCCCCAGTCTCAAGTCTTTTGCAGATTCTAACAGGTTTTCTTCTAAGATTGCCCTGTATTTGGCTCCATCCATCTTCCCATCAACTCTGACCAGTTTCCCTGTCCCTGCTGAAGAAAAGCATCCCCACAACATGATGCTGCCACCACCATGCTTCACGTTGGGGATGGGTGTGAAGTTCAGGGTGATGTACAATGTTAGTTTTCCGCCACACATAGCGTTTTGCTTTTAGGACAAAAAGTTAAATTTTGGTCTCATCTGATCAGAGCACCTTCTTCCATGTTTGCTGTGTCCCCCTCATGGCTTCTCACAAACTGCAAAGGGGACTTCTTATGGCTTTCTTTCAACAATGGCTTTCTTCTTGCCACTCTTCCATAAAGGCCAGATTTGTGGAGTGCACGACTAATAGTTGTCCTGGGGACAGATTCTCCCATCTGAGCTGTGGATCTCTGCAGCTCCTCCAGAGTTACCACGGGCCTCTTGGCTGCTTCTCTGATTAATGCTGCCTTTGCGCAGCCTGTCAATTTAGGTGGACGGCCATGTGTTGGTAGGCTTGCAGTTGTGCCATACTCCATTTTCGGATGATGGATTGAACAGCCCTCTATGAAATGTTCAAAGCTTAGGATATTGTTTTTTATAACCCAGCCCTGCTTTACACTTTTTCCACAACTTTATCCCTGACCTGTCTGGTGTGTTTTCTTGGCCTTCATGATGTAAAGGGGGGTCTGAATACAAATGCATGCCACACTTTCAGATATTTGTAAAAAATTCTGAAAAACATATCATTTACCTTCCATTTTCACAACTATGTGCTACTTTGTGTTGGTCAATCACATAAAATCCAATAAAATACAGTTATGTTGTTGGTTGTAACATGACAAAATGTGGAAAATTTCAAGGGGTATGAATACTTTTCAAGGCATTGTATATACCATAGTTTGTGGACTCTATAACCTTCCTACAGACTAAGTAATATATACTGATTTGGGCTATTTTCACCAAATACATGTAGCAGTATACATTTTAGACTAATTTTATGAACAATTATTTATTTGCAAAATGTTATAACAGAAAGAACTTTTTTTTTTTTGCAAAAAATTTTCAGTCTTTTTTTTTTTAGCAAAAAATATGCTTTGGAGGTTATTTACCAAAATCTGGAGTGGAAAATCTGGTGCAGCTCTACATAGAACCCAGTTTCCACATTGTTTTTTCTCATTAAACAAGCGAGTTAACTACCATGCCCAGCTGCAGCGGATTTTGAGTGCTCCAGTTTTAGTAAATCTCCCCCTTTCAGTATATTCAGCAGACCATAAGGGATCAAATATTAGAAGTTCATTGTTAAAGTGGTTATAAAGGCTCAAGGTTTTTTTTAACTTCTGTGTGCAACAGCCCCCTCTATAATGTACCTGAGCCCCATCGCAATCCAGTTAATGCATTGCCTCTCCCTCCTCATCGCCTGAGACAATCACAGTCAATCACAGCCAGTGAGCCAATGAGGAGAGAGAGGGGGCAGGGCCAAGACACAGCTGTGTGTGAATGGACACGCAGAGCAGAGGCTTGGGAGTGAGCCTGCTTGGGTGCCCCCATAGCAAGCTGCCTATGGGGGCATTCGGCAGGAGGGAGGAGCCAAGAGAGCGCCCACAGGGTACCCGAGAAAAGGATGATTGGGGCTGCTCTGTGCAAAACCACTGGCCAAGTATGACATGTTTGTTATTTTTTATTTAATTGCCATAAATATCACTATAGGGTTTACACAGACATGAAATATGACAAAACTAAAGTAGCTGCAGCAATTAGAGCGAATTTATTATTACTACTAACAGACCTACTCTATCTAATTAGTAAAATGGTTTTTCGGTGAAAGTACCTCGCCTTGTACCTCCTACCATCCTTCATGTCTGAGCACCATTATAAATGCCACTATGTAGAAGTGTGCAGAGTTCAGCTGGAACTACCATTACTGGAAGGATTGCTTCTTTCTCATTCACATCCATTGCAGCACGGTTTGAAGGTGTGAATGAACCAGGCCATCCAATCCATAGTTGTCAATACTACAAAATATCTTTACCATCTTCCAACAGCTGCGTTTGTTTTTGACGAAGGGAGATCTAGCAAACAAACTTTTTCAATAATTGCTTTTATCACACCTTAAATACCTTGAATAATGAATCCAGAACACACAGAAAATATTCACTCACTGACTCTTAAAGAGTACCTGTACTGAAGCAAAAATAAAAAGCCCATCACATAGAGACTGGATGCAGATGCTAGGAGGTACCCTAGGAATATTAAAACATGGGGTGCCCTGTTATGCAAACATCATGATCATTCCCTGAAATGAGTGCTTACACTGATCATAGTGCAGAGTATATGGTGTCCTACAGAGTTCTCTCTGCTTAAAGGCACAGTCCACCTTAACCACTTGAGCTCCTGAGGATTTACCCCCCTTAATGACCAGGCCTCTATTTGCTACTCGGAGCTGCACTAATTCAACTGATAAATTGCGCGGTCATGCAACGCTGCACCCAAACAAAATTTACGTCCTTTTTTTCACACAAATAGAGCTTTCT